TTCTAACTATTCTAAGTTCAGGGAAAAGCCTAGGAAATGCCGCTTCTCTGGTAAAACTGAAGTTCTCATTGGGTGAGGTGAGGGAGGCCCTACCTGTAAGAGACAGCAAAAGTTCAAAGGGGAGAAGAGCCAGGCTGTGAGTTAGAAGGAGGTCCCGTGGCAGGCGGTGTCCTTCAAGCTGGGATGTTTAAGTGAAGAAGCAAGGGCCAGGTCGAGGCTAAAAGAGTGACTGGCGTGGAGGCCCCAGGGCAGGCGAGAGCTTGACCTGCCAAAAGAAGCCTGGGGGGCTGGGGTCTGCAACACAATGGTACAGGGAAGAAATATGCCGGGAGCACCACCAAGACCGTCCCTGCGGCCACTTCCGGTGAGAGTCAGGACTCACGCTAAGTGTAACCAGAAGACCCGGGAGAATTAAACCCAGAAAAGCTCTAACTCTGGTCAGCTACCTCCCTGTACGACTGTTTTTCTCTCTCCTTCCTATTCTCCTCACCCTCTTCCTTGATTTTTCAACTATTTCTTGGTCCACCTTGTGTGTCTGTAGCTTAAAAGTCGAGCTCTAAGTAATCCAACTACCTGAAGCCTTGTTCAAACCTTTCATTCCTATCAAAACCGAAAGCTAACATGAGCTTTAAATGAAAAACATGTTTTGGAAAAAAAATTTTTTAAAGAAAACTTCTCCCAAATGTAAATTACACTACAAAGTGGTGGTTAAAATAAGATTAGAAAGAAAACAAGAAACTCTTCCCTGAGGACACACTGGTATTAAAAATCATTATAAATCTCCTAGCTTTCATTGTCTGTAAAAATCCCCTGGGCCTGTGATTGGAGGGTGAGGCACCAATCTGCGCCCCCCTCCCTGGGCCCCCAAGACCACACAGCCACCCAGGGCTGTGGCTCCAGGGGGAGTAACAGGGTGGAGCCTGATGTGCCCTCTCTCCAGGACAGAGCACAACTGTCACACAGGATCCCTGAGCTGGTACTCAGAGCGCGGGGCCTCGGGGAGTAAGGGGTGGGACCACCCAGACCTAGGCCCACGTACCTTCCTCTCTCTGAATCAACATAAGTACAATACTCCCCCCTTATCCAGGTAGGGTACATTCTAAGACCCCTAGCGGGTGCCTGTAAACACACATGGTATGGAACCCTGCGTACACTGTGTTTTTGCCTAACATACATAGGCTAAGGTTTAATTTATAAATTGGGCACAGTAAGACATTAACAATGACCAATAATAAAAAGAACAACTACAACAACATATTGTATTAAAAGGTACTTAAAACGTATCCACTGTTGGCTGGGGATTTAGCTCAGTGGCACAGCGCCTGCCTGGTAAGCGCAAGGTCGTGAGTTCGATTCCCGGTACCGGAAAACAAACAAACAAAAACATGTATCCACTGTTTATCTCTGAAACTGTCCACTTGATACTTTCAGACGGTGCTTGAGCCGGTAATTGAAACCACCACTGGTAAGAGTGGACTACTCTACCCTGGACCTGTCTTTGCAGGAAACAGCAGGCATTTTCCCACACCTAACATACGTAACCTAAGGGCGTGCAGAGCTGAGTGTTCCTTTTCAAAACCAGGCCCTTCCCTCTTCTTGGCAATTCAAGTGCATCTTCTCTACAAGGGCCAATTAAAAAATACAGGAAAGCTTAATTTTTAAAAATGTATTACAGTAAAATACACAGTACCATTAATCCACCTTGAAATATTCCCCTTCAGTTCAAATTAGCAATTCGCCCATCACGTTCATCCCTTTCTGGAGCAGTTCTGGAAGCCTTCGTTCTGTGAATGCCTTTAGAGAGCGAACGCTGCTGATGGGTGTCATCCAACAGAAAGGCAGGCTCATAAAAAAATGTATGGTGTGTCTTCATCTACCGTATTCACCGGATCTGGCACTGTGTGACTTCTGGCTCTTCCCCAAAGTCAAAATGACCATGGTAAACAAGGTAAACATTGTGAATTGATTCGGGCCACTGAGGCAGCCAGGACAGCGCAACTAAAGACACTCACAAAAGTGGAAAAGTGCTACGGAAAGTAGCAAGGACAGCGGGGGAGGGAAGGGTTCGGAGGGGATGCACGGCAACGTTCATTAACTATAATGAACTTTTCTAATCCAACATTCACCATATTTTTAGATCACATGTCATATCTTAGAAACTGTCCCCAAGGCCCAGAGGCAGCCTCTGCGCAGCTCCCATCTGTGACCCGTGAAACTCTGCCTGCCTCTTCCTCAGATTCTGTGCTGCGCTCCCCCTGGGGAAGGCCCGGCTTGAATCCCCAAGGTGAGAGGAAACACCCTGGCAGGCTGGTTTCAAGAGTAATAACCATTACGCTTCCTTTTTTTTTTTTTTTTTTAACTTTCTGTCTTTCCCTTCCTTTTTCTTTCTTTTTAAAAATTTTATTGCATTATGATACAAATTTTACTATGGTACAAGCATTTAACATGACATCTTCAAAAATTCACTAGAAGGACCACGGAGTATGGCAGCTCCCTAGACTTTTCACTCTGCTTAACTGAACCATGGTAAAAATTTCCCCCCGCTGTCCTCCCCCCAGGGACCTTGGCAATCACCATTCTATAGACTCTCCGTGTCTACGGGTCTGGACACATTACACAGTTTCTGTAAGGGGAATCCTAGGCTACTTGTATGACTGCCTTATTTCACTTACCACATCTTCAGTGTAGCAGGATTTCTTTCTTTTTTAGGACTGAATAAGAGTCCATTGCATGCATATACATATTTTCTTTACTCAGCTTTGATGGCACTTAGGTTGTTTCTACATGTTGGCTATGTGTTAGATCACACCGACTTGACATAAAACTAGGTTTCCAAGATGGCGGCCTTTGTCCACTTCAGGATGTAGGACCACTGACAACTACCCTATGTTTGCAGTCCTAGACCACTAACCTAAACATTTACCTCATGGACCTGCCAATCTTCACTGCCATGTTTTTTATCAGTCCATGTTTGCAGTACATAATGATTACATTCCTCATGGGAAGCTGCCACCCATACATAGCCCAACTTAACTCTTTCTTTTATCCCCTGTCCTCCCTTCCCTCCCGCCTCCTTCTGTCTCTTGGTTCTCCTCCTCTCTGCAAAAGCTCTATCTCCCTATTTCCTATTAATCTATCTTTTATTTTGCCCTTTATTTATAATTTGGGTTTCTCACATAAGAGAAGCCATGTGCTATTTAAGCTTGTGTGATTTATTACACTTAACATTACAGTCTCAAAAAGTATTAATTTTCCTATGAATGACTCAAGTTTAACCTTCTTTATGGCAGAGTAGTACTCCACTGTGTATAAATACATTTTCTTTATGCATTCATCTGTTGGTGGGCAAACAGGCTGCTTCCAAGATTTAACTATTATGACTTGTGCTGCTACAACCATGAGTATGCATGGATCACTGTAATATGAGCTCTTTAACTCTTGGGAGCATACCTAGAAGGGGTAGAGTGGGGTCACACGGAATTTCTGTTGTAAGTTTTTTGAGGAATCTCTATACTGATCTCCACAGTGGTTGTACCAGTTTACATCCCCCCAACAGTGCAGAAGGGCTCCTTTTTCCCGGCAACTTCACCACCATTTGCTATTATTCAATTTCTTGATGATATCCATTCTTTCTAGACTAAGATGGACTCTCAATGTTGTTTTAATTTGCATTTCTCTAATGGCCAGTGATGTTGAACATTTTTTCATATATTTATTGGCCTTGCCCCTTCTATGGGGCCTGAGGCCTGGGTCTGTCCTCCTATGGTGTCGCTCTTTGCCCTCATGACCCTAGCTCTGCTCCTGGGAAGACGCTACAGAACTACTCTGCACCCGTGTGCTCAGAGCAGGCTGTCCACCCTTGCCATGCCATGGGACCTCTTCTGCCGGTGTAAGGAGCCTGAGGACTCCCTCTTCCATTGTCTTCTCCTCCTCCAACCCTACTCCCCCTCCATCTCTGGCTCTAGAACTATTCTTGTTTCTCACAGGCTCTTTGGGATCTGGTTCCTGCCTGCCTTGTCCTTCTGTTCTCTTGTCTTCTTCCTCCTCCTCCTGTTCTTCTCTTCCTCCTCACCTCAGCCTGGCCATACTGAACTACAAATGTGGGCTTTCTCAAAGTCACAATATTGCCTCCTCTTCCATGGACTGATTTTCTGCCCCCTTTGACTAGTTAAACCCGACCTATTCTTCAAAACCCAGCCCAGCTATCACCCCCTTCAAAAACCCTTTCTCCGATTCCTCTGCTTTGAGTCAGACTATTTTTCTCTTCTTCCACCTCCGTCCTAGCCCTTACCCCATAGTTTGTAAGCATCTGTGTACGGCCCAGCATCCCTCCTGGGCTACACTCTTTGAAGGCAAGGACATTCCTCTGATGCCTGGACACCTTGTCCTTGGCCTAGGACTTGATGTGTCCTCAGTGGATGGACAGATGCGTGCTCCAACCAACGGACTCAGGGGGCTCAAACTAGCGAGCTCCAGCAACGCCGGTTACAAGGAACATGTACATTTCAGCCTCACGGCAGGATTGCCATGGGCGCCATACCAACTCCCGATCAAAGCTGATTTGGCTGTGAGAGTACCAGTTCCACTACCCAAAGCTCCTTGGGATTCTCCCGTGGCCTAAAGGCAGAGTCCCCTGCCTTCTCAGAGGAGAAGAAACGCATAACGTGCCTCGTGCTCCCTCCCTGTCCTCGTCACTTGCTGCCCTTTCTGCCACTTCAACACCTCCCCTTCTGAGACTAAACAGCTGAAAGTTTCCAGACAGCCATGCAAACCAGGTACTGTAACTAAAAGCTAGAGCTAAACAGCTCAAAAACTAGGGAAGCTTGAGGAGCAGGAAGATCTTAGCAGAAGGTGAGACAAGGCCACGGCACATGGTTTCAGGAGAAGGACAGAGTTCCAGCCTGTGTCCCACCCAAGCCTTCCCTGCCCTCCCAACCGCAGCACCGGAAGGGCGCAGGGCCCTGGTTCCCACTGGGCCTCAGTCCTGCTCACATTCTCACCTCCCACCTCCAGTGGGCGCTGCCGAGTTAATGGCCTGAACCATGTCGGTGGTGAGAGCATCCAGGAGGCTGGTGATGAACTCCAGTTTCTTCCCCTCTGGACAGCCTAAAAAATAAAATGGGATTTGAAGGCAGATGCCAGGTAAAAGATCAAGTAAACAACTTTTTCAACCACCACCTTTCCCCAGACTTAGTGAGTCCTCCTTGTCTAGCCAAAGGGAGGTGTGTTTCTGCTCAGGCGATTCTGAGCGCCTCCCCCATCACTCCCTCCTCACAGAGGAATCCCCGGGCCAAAGGGATAATAACGCTTTCAGTTTTCTTCCCCTGCACCAGTCTTTGTGGGTACCACGTCATGGGCTACGTGAAACGCAAGGGAGCCGGCAAGGCCCTATCCTTGTGAAATTTGCAATATACTGGGCTGAGGATTCAAGGCTGTGACCGGGCAGTCGTCCTACAGAGGGGAAAACGCTGCTCCAGGAGTGAGACGCAGACGCCGTGGGAGCACGCGGTGGGGGCGGGGCGCAGGGATCCTCACCGGTCCAGGCTGACTTAGACCATCGATTTATCTACCCAAGAACCTCCTCCTCTGTTCACTCCTCCCTCATCCAGGTGAGACCACAACTAGAATTTCCCTTGTAAATACTAGCGCATGTGTTGTTCCTTTTCTTCTCAGTGTACTATTCCAGCAAAACCTCAAGCACAAGTAACCCTTCTCAGAGCTCCTCCCTCATCTCGTCCTCCTTGCTCATCTGCTGAGGGGATGGCTACCCGGAAGTGCACTGGCCTCGCGACTGCGTTTCTGTGCCAAGGTGAGTTCTACCAACCTCGCGTGGAAAGCACTGACCTCCGTGGCTCTCTGCTTTCAGTTTTCACTTTGGAGTCCCAGTGCTTCATGGGAAGGCGGCCTCAGCTCCCACCAGCACTCACCTGACTCTGTGCTGTGCAGCTCACAGGACTCCAAGGCCCTGATATTTAGCAATCCTACTGTAACTCACAGGCAGAGCTCATTATGACCAAGGGGAACCCAGCACGGCAGCTATTTTGAGGTCCTGGGCCCCTGGGTCTCTATCACTCCCGCCCCACTCCCTACCCCCATAGCCTTTCTGTGTCACCACAGAAATACTCTGCAAGGCACATGAGAAACACTGCCCAGACCTCTCCGAACAGACCCTCCCTATAAGCTTTCTTCATAGTCCTAGAAGACATGGCTCATAGTCCCCAAAACCTTGTCCCAGGCACCCTGGTATTGAGAATGGATTACAGAATTACAGGGACTGTAATTTTTTTAACTCAGTGACTATAGTTTATAGATAGACACAAGAATAAGAAGCAATGATCTTAATTAGGGACAAGGTCCAGCCTGGGATGCAGAGTCCCCAGCTCTGGCTCCACACTCCTGGGACGCACCCATCCAGCCCCCCACCATGGTGCATGTGGAGAGAGACCCAGAGGAGCAGGCTGCTGCTTCTGCACAGCGAGGGGACAGAGGGACAGAGACGTGAAGGTGCCCCGAGGTAGCGTCTCCCACCTGGCAGCTCCCGGTCCTTGAAGGGATCCTCCACCTCTGTGCTCTTGGCTCTGGCATCACTCTCACAGCTGGGCATCACGTAGCTGTGAAGAGAGACACGGGGCTGGGGCAGGGCTGGCACTGAGCATGCTGCAGCCACTTCTGCCCAGCAACGCTCTACGTTGTCCTCAAACCCAGAGTCCTCAGGGTTCACAGCCAAATAGTCCCTGCGCTGTCCAGCAGCTCCGAGACATGTCCAGGCATGTCCTCTTACCCACGGAAGCCTAATAACAGTGTCACTTTAGAGCTCCACACAGGATCGTTTTTTGGTCCACAGAACCTAGTAACTTAAGCTGCACAACAATCTTCTCATGCAGAAACTGGGGTTCAGAGAGTTTAAATACTTTTCCAAGGAGAACAGCTGGAATGGGACAGATCTGTGACCAGATCCCAGGTCCTGGGGTCTTTCTACCCAAACCTTATCTGCTCGTTAATGGAAAAGCAGGTCTCCTTATGACTTGACAAGTCAGGGAAGTACAGCTGAGGAATGCCAGGATAACCATCAGTTGGTCCGCTTGTCCCAGGACAGGCCTGAGCGGGCTTACCGTGTGGAGGTCCCAGGCAGCGGGCGCCCCGTGTCCACCAGCACACACCAGCAGTAGCCAGTGGACTGGTGGCACTGCACTGGCTTGTAGAGCCCCCCAGGGGCACACTCGGGGATGACAATGCCCTCACGGGGATTCTGCCGGGCCTCTTCCAGGGCGCTCTGCCTTTCCTGGTCACATGAGTGCACTTTCTCTGTAAGAGAAGATGCAGCCTCTGGTGACTGTCTCTCCTATGACCCGTCATAACCATCTTCTGTGCCAGGGTCCAAAGTAAATAGCAAGAGCCAGGCGTTGTGTCCCAGGGGACCGATGGCTTGGTGGATGAGTCATCACCAACAGCTGCATCTTGCATGCCAGCCAAGGGTGAAGGGCTGGAGGCCCAGAGCCTCCCCGGGGCCACATCCTCTGCCAGGGCTCATCAGCTTCTCCACAAATGGACTCTGCTGCAGCCACAAACCAGCCAGTGACCCCTTGGCCACACCTTCCCAGAGTAGCAGTGTGCACTGGGGCTGGAATTTCTTCTCTGTTTTTGGAGTGGCTCCTCCTCCTCTAAGAGAAGCCAGCATAGGAGCCCGCTGCCCTCTGAGCTGGCGCAACACAGCCTGTGCATGCAGACGCTCCCAGGCTGGGACACAGCAGGACAGAGCCATGGCCCCCATGGGGGGTGTGCTTGGCACCCAAGAGGAGCGGAAACAAAAGCCAACCCCAGCTCCTTCCCACGCTCCAACACAGCAGGCGAATAGGCTGATGGGCTTGAAGTCATCACATGAGGCTGCTTCCATGCAACAGGAGAGAAATCCAGCCTGCCAGGAAGGTGTGTGTTCTCTGCTGCCCTGGGAAAATGCGAATGGGTCTGAACAGCCAAAGCAGGGTTCCCTGGAGTCAGTGGAGACACCCTTGTGCCTGCAACGCCACATATAGGGAACTTTATACCACTCGGCTGTTTTACCAGGTCAGCCAGGCGGGCTCCCCTTTCCGCCTTTTGTTTGTGTATGCTTTAATTATTAAAAATAAATAGTGTTGGGGCTGGGGATTTAGCTCAGCGGCAAAGCGCCTGCCTGGCAAGCTCAAGGTCGTGAGTTTGGTTCCCGGTACCGGAGAAAAACCAAAAAAACTAAAAATAAAAAATAAAAAAAAATAAAAATAAATAGTGTTGCATTTCTTTCCCTATGGTAAAAGGAATTTTAAAAGAAAATTTTGAAAAACCCATAACCCATCACAGTTAAACCCTCTATTTTCTTTAAATCCTCTGCCGTGCACACAGATAGATGCAAATCCAGACTCACGCATCTATTCTTTCCTTACAAACAGGGGATCACACGGTGAGCCAGGACGAGTACTTTGGTCTTCATTAACTCTTTATTTACTTATTTACTGTATCATGACTTCGTTTTTCTTATGAACACTATTCTATAATTTTCCTCTTGAACAAGTACACGGGAACACAGAATTTCTATGATGTGATACAAAATGCCACTCTTAGAACAGCCGTGTGGTACCAGGAAACTGGAGAACCACGCTACCCGCTGGCCACCATGCAAATGGTCAAAATAACAGACACTCAGTCCCACTCAAAATGACACAGTCCTGGGGAAAGCACCAACAAACCATAGGTGTACACAGCGCCACCACGGAGCCTAACGCCGTCTTAGAGAAATAATTCAGATGAAGGAAAAAAATCATTCCTTGTCTCACTGCTCAGAAAAGGGCTGATGAGCAACAGCCGAGGATTCTCACTGCCAAGGAAGAGGAATATTTCCTTAGGGGCCTAAAAATATCTGAGGGCTAAGAGGCAGGTATATATAGCATGTTCGCGACTGAAATGTAATGTGGAACTTGGGGAAAGAAATAAGAACTATCGTTTTCATAACGCAAGTGCAGCAAAGCTAAAGACACTCTCCTTGGCTACAGGAAACGCAGCTGCCTAACATCAGACTAGAGATGCAGCCCCCAGTTGCAATTTCCACAAAACAGGATCTCGAGACAACTTCAGGGTGAGACTGAGACTGAGGAGGGACACGGGCTTGGGAAACCTGGCATTAAGTCCCAGAACCTTGACTTCAGCTCCTGGCTGAAGTAAGTGCCAAGTCAACTTCAAGAGGATTACACAGGAGGTTTGCAGCGGTTCCCCCGACTCTGATTTGGTAGCCTTACTTTCCTGCCTCGCGTTTCATGCCATGCAAGAGGCGATGGAGGAGGAGAAGCAAAGGAAAACAGTCCTTACTGGCACCACGTTTGTGTAACAGCCTCTGACAGATGCTTTAAATTAAGGCTCTGCAGCCAGCCTCCTCAAGCCATAAATCAGACCCGAGCCAGATGCGAGGCGGGCAGGAGGGCTCTCCCCTCCCCTCCCCGCCCCTCCAGCGGATGAACCTGACTTCACAGCACTGAGAGTCCTCGCGCTCATGGAGGCGTGGACAGCGGCCGTGCCGGAAGAGGTGTGGAGCAAGGTTTGGGTCCTGTTGTGGATTTATGGAAGTCCTCGAAGGCTGCTCAGAAATGTTTACAGTCAGCTTCTGTGAGGTTCTATGGAGAATTAAGTCATAAAAAGGATAAAGTGATGAAGTTCACTAATCTGGGAGAATGGGGGATAGCGTGCAATTAAACAGAAGTCTAAATGCACAGCTTACTCTATTTATTTATTATTTACCTATGCGTTACTTTAATACAGTCCCTGCAAGTCCTGGGGCCCACTAAGAAAAAGTCAGGAACAGTCATCAGGACAGCATCCTCCATCAGCGAAGAGGACACAGTTTGTCTTCTCTCCAGAAAAAATCTCCCTCAAAATCACCTTTACACCTAAGAACAACAGAGCAAATATTCACTGAGTAAAATGGGCCAGGTGATAGACAAAGGCCTTTGCTGGCCTCAAGTCCGCCCAGGTGAAGGGAGCGCTAAGAAAATGCCTATTTGCAGCCAAGGAGGCTGAACTTTAGAGCGATTCATGAATTTTTCCAAGTTCCTTCAGCCAGGAAAGAGGAGGGCTGGCATCCCGTAGTCAGGCCCACCTCGCTGCCCCTGGACGGTAGTGACGCCAACCACTCGCTCTAGGAGAAAATACACTGATTTCTGGAGGACTCCAAGACTTCTGCGTTCCACACAAGGTGTGCTCCATAGGGAGCACTTCCAAACTACCACTATTTCCTCAGCTTAAGCATGGGACAAAGCTTGTCCCTTGGTATTTTTCTCTTTTCCTCGGAACTCAAAAACTTATAAGGAAATTTGTAACTTTCCCACCATCACAGAACTATCAAACAAATAACGGCAGCCAAGGTTTCTCACCGCATTTACCATGTGCCTAGCTCAGTACTAACCCACTTCACACCGCCACCAGCCTCGAGGACAGGCGTTGGTGCCGGGGAAGGGGACGCGGGGGCGCACACCGGCTGAGTGATTCGATCGCGAGCGGACAGCTCCAGCTGGGATTCCAGCGCAGCTGGGTTCCTCACCTCTCTGCAGCAACATCTTTCATTGCCTCAGGCTAACCTCACTTCTATTCTAATCTGCATTTTTCTTAATCTACTCAGTTCCTATAGCAGATGATGGCAAAGTGGCCCCCGGGAATCGCACCTCCCTGTCTTCAGGCCCTTGTGGAGACCCATCCCCACCGACTCCCGTTGCCATGGACCAATAGCATGGCGGAGTGGGGATGCTGGAAGGCTGGCCAAGCCCTTCAGAGGCCTTACAGCCACCATTTTCTTGGAAGCTGCTCTGAGGTCGCCACAGAAGGAAGCTGATCTAGCTTCCTGGAGGAGGAGAAACACCTCAGCCCACAGGCCGCACAACTGCCAGACACGGTTCAAGAGGTCATCTTGGATGCTGCAGCCCGCTGATCCCTCTCCCCGGATGAGTCCATGAGTGAATTCAGGTAAAACCAGTTAAGAAACCACCCGGTCAATCCACAGGCACATTAGCAAGAACAAATAATTTTTATGATAATCCAGTACTGGAAGTAGTTTTTACACAGAAATAGGTAACTGACACATTAGACTGATTCACTCTTGATCAATCTATACTGTGTTTTTGTAGCTCCTATAAGTCCTTTAATCAATCAATCAACTAGTAAGTCAATCAATCAAATTATTCCTGCAGTGCTTCTCAAGAAGTCATGCGAAGGCTGAGCAGTAAGCACCAAAGACTGTAGACTCTTCCCATACCTGAGGACCCAGAAGCTGCCCATTCTGGAGGCCACTGTCAGGCTCAACTCTTTTCAGTCACCTCCCAAGTGAATCATCAAATTCCCATCAGTTCATTGTCCCAGAAGTCACCTTTTCAAATGTAAGACATGGGGTAGATTTCCAGGGTCTCGTCACCATCACTGACTCCAAGGGAGGGCAGGTCGCCCGAAGTGGACGCACACTGTTCTAAAACACTCCGTCTCTGCTTAGGAAAGTTGGGGGAAAGAGGACAAGAGGAGAAGCTCTGGCCCAGTGACTGTGGGAATTGGCCAGGACCGCCCGTATGCACTCGGAAGACGTAACGAAGAAGCCAGGAGGGGGAACAACTGGGGCTGAAGCTTTTCTTGAAAACCTCTGACCATCCCTAAAAAGAAACACAACCGAAAGGCATCCTGTGGGAGAAACGAAACGAAGTCCAATCCTTGCCACCAAAACCCCCGCAGCCTTCTCTTCTCCCGGTGATTACACACTGCACTGGGGGAAACCGAAGCAGGGACTAAGCGGGTGAATGAGGCAGCACAGCAACAGGAGATGCGAGCCCAGGTTGAACCAGACAAACATAAACCCCGTCTGCCGGCCCAGGGCCCGGGTCCTTCTGTGTCCTGCCAAGACTGGATAAGCAAGGAGAGCGGCTCTGTGTGCTACGCTGGCCTGCGCATCTCTGCCTCTCAGTTACCCGTGGTAATTAGGAGAGAAGGAGAACATGGATCCCCGAAATTCCCAGCTAATCCCCAATCTCAGTTTGAGCCCAGAGTTTATCCTTTCCTTCTGGGAGCCTTTTCTCTTTCATCATCTTTCTCTTTTCTCTTCTTTACTGTTTTTAAAGCAACAAATGGCCAAAAAACATAAACATCAGGAGATCGGAGTTTCAGTTCCGTGGGCTAGTGTTTCTGGTTGCCGTCTTCCAGAGGAGGAGGTGCTGAAGGAAGGAACAGACAGAAAGCCAAGCCGGTGGGTAATCCAACCCCACGGGCTTTCAGATCACCGAGGCAGCCGTGATCAGTGTGCCAGCCCC